ACATTATACATTCTTCCCTTTCGACTTGTTAACCAGTGATCGGCCCCGTTCTGTCCTTCACAGATTTCAGCATTGCTTCATGATTTTTGGCAGCCGGGACGTTGCCTTCTAGAGGGAGGGGATAGTGTTACAGACTCTGCCCAGGCCTCACGCCTCCACCCTGCTGGGTTACAGGGCAACACAACTCGCCCCAGCTACGACCAGCGTCATCCCAGCAGCAACCCTTGGTCGTCCCTTGGGATGCCCACCCCAAAGCATCCCCAGATCTCTCTACCAGGCCTCACGGTCCTGCATCAGCAGGTTACAGGGCAACACCCCAGCACCAGCCAGCATCGTTCTGGCATCGACCGGCCAAGTATCACTGAGTACAACAGCATCGAAAAAAAAGTCCTAAAAGATTCATAAGAACAACCGACTTTTTTTTTTTATCAGACTCTACCAAGTCGACAGAATATGTATGTCAAAAAGCCTCCCCGTCACAAATCAGATAGGTGAAACCCATTCAATCCACCTACGACCACCACCAGCATGGCTAGTTTCAGCACGAACCGAAGCTCTTCCAGGCCTCATGCTCCCATCAGGTTTGATCCCTGGTCTATCTTTTTGCTGTTTTGGCTGCATCCCATTTTCGGCCTGGCACCCTTTTTCCAAACCCCTCGTTTGGTACCGTAGGATTTTGGACAACTGGCGCCATGCTGCAATTCGGGCGCCACTTTCAAATACCGCATTATTCAGTTCTGCCCTCGGGGCCTTTGCAGAAATGCCCCTGGTACCGTACGTGTCACCGGTACTTATACCGGCTCCCCGTACGGTACGGGGACCAGTCTCGTACCAGTTTCCAGCTGCTGTACTCGTATTCCGTGTGACTTGCTGTTTCGGCATTCGAGAATCCAAGACTTCGACTTTGTGCCCTTGCCACTGTGTCTGCGTCTGACCCTCAGTCGTGTCGAGTGAGTGTGTGTGTGTGCTCTCACTCTCTCCCTCTCCCTCGGCTCTCCCTCGGCTCTCCCTCAGCCTCGTGCGCGTCACTACCGGGGCCTCTCTCTCTCTCTCTCTCTCTCTCTCTCTCTCTCTGTCTAAGTCACGCGAGTGCGCATGCGTTCAGTTTTTTCATCGGTGTTTTTTTTCCCCCTGATGGACCACGGATCAGATATGAAACTGATTGGAACACATACTTCACTTGATTGTGTTGGGGTAGGGGGCAGACTGTGTCATTAAGATTGGGTTCTCTCTCTCTTGCGCGCGCGCACGCATGCATGCAGTTTTTACATCTTAAAAAAAAAGATTGGGTTCTCTCTCTCTTGCGCGCGCGCACGCGCGGGGCCTCTCTCTCTCTCTCTCTCTCTCTCTCTCTCTCTCTCTCTCTCTCTCTCTCTCTCTCTCTCTCTCTCTCTCTCTCTCCAGCGCGCACACCCGTGAGAGAAAAAGGGGATCCCGATGGACCACGGATCAGATATCAAGTTATCCACGTGATCGGAACAGATACAACACTTGATCATGTTTTTTGTTTCTTTTGGGGGCAGGTCACAATGGATACATTAGGGTCTCTCTCTCTCTCTCTCTCTCTCTCTCTCGCCACTGCATGTGCGCTTGGCCGCTGCCCTCGTTTTTTTTATTTTTTGCAAACTCTCTCGCGCTTGCTTTTCTTTTACTTGGCGCATGCCATCAACTTTTTCTCTCAATCCCGCCATCGTCTCTCTCTCTCTCTCTCTCTCGCCACTGCATGTGCGCTTGGCCGCTGCCCTCGTTTTTTTTATTTTTCGCAAACTCTCTCGCGCTTGCTTTTCTTTTACATGGCGCATGCCATCAACTTTTTCTCTCAATCCCGCCATCGTCTCTCTCTCTCTCTCTCTCTCTCCAGCGCGCACACCCGTGACAGAAAAAGGGGATCCCGATGGACCACGGATCAGATATCAAGTTATCCACGTGATCGGAACAGATACAACACTTGATCATGTTTTTTGTTTCTTTTCGGGGGGGGTCACAATGGATAGATTAGGGTCTCTCTCTCTCTCTCTCTCTCTCTCTCTCTCTCGCCACTGCATGTGCGCTTGGCCGCTGCCCTCGTTTTTTTTATTTTTCGCGAACTCTCTCGCGCTTGCTTTTCTTTTACTTGGCGCATGCCATCAACTTTTTCTCTCAATCCCGCCATCGTCTCTCTCTCTCTCTCTCTCTGTGTGTGTCTGTCTCTCTCTCTCGTGCGGGCGTGCAGATTTTTCTTCCTTTTTTCAAAAAAACGGAGGGTCCCCATGGACCACGGATCACATATGAAACCGATCAGAACGGATGGCACAGTTGATAAGGGGGGAGGGGGGGTGGGGTCGCTGTTAGTTATATTGGGGTTGGGGTAGGAGGATGCTTGGGGGAAGGGCGACGGCGAAGCCGGGAGAAGGACGGAGGGGAGAGCGCTCAGAATGAGGGAAGAGAAAGCGGAGGGGGGACACGGGCGGAGGGGAGCATAGGCGGGAGCCCGCGCAGAATGAGGGGAGAGAAGGTGGAGGAGGACGCAGAAAGGAGCGGAGGAGGGAGGAGAGGGGGGAGAAGGG